CACGCCTGCGTCATGGCGGTTGTTTGCCAATCCCCTCACCAAAGGAGGGGAGCAGGCTGAAGAGCCGGGAGATTATCAGAGGCTCCGAATCCCAAGTCAGAAGCGAGCCCACCTTGAGGCTGGAAGAAGGGGGCTGAGGTGCTGCAGGGAGAAAGGACAGTGGAGAATTGTGGTCCCTCAAATTCAGGCTCCTGCCTCAGCCTCTTTCCTAGGGCCACCACGTTGCATGGCTGCAGGAGGTGCCATTCCATCAACTACGGTGTCAGTGGCGCCCCCTGGAGTTGTTCGGGGGCCCTGCCTATGTACCCTCTTTCTTCCAATCAGCTTCAGATCCAGCTGGAAGGATATGCTGGGACTGGTCTTAATGCAACACCCACTCCCCCACCCCTGCCTCCTTCCACTCAACCTATTCCCCTGCCGCCCACCCCCTGCCCCCAAGTCCATCTCACTGGGCCGCAAATTGTGGTGAAGGAGCCCCTCCCCCCTCCACTCAAGTTCTGTCTCTGGGGGGCTGATTTATCATGCCCCCCCCCCCCCCCGCATCAGGCCTGCTGCAGTGTGTGAGAAATCAATAGTGCAAATGGATTGAGGTTGTTCAGCCTGTCAACCCCCCTTGGGCCCCATCTACTCCCCTGGGACTTGGGGAGTTACTCTGTCCCCTTCCGGCTTATCACAGAGATATACACACCTCGGTCTTGTGGTTGCAGCCAGAGCGCTGGGCACAGGAATTATTCCTTCTGTCCATCTCTCTCTCTGTCTCTCTCTTTCTCTCATATCCTGGGCTGGTCTTAGCATGACAAATACTCGTGAACATCTCTTTTCTAGCTCGGGTGGAGTGGGGGTGGAGGGGCTTAAAGGGCAGTAGGCTGCCAGCCAGAGGTGGGAGGGAAGCAGGTGGGTGAGTGAGACGGTGCCCAGGGAGGAGGACTAGCTGGGGAAGGGATTGGGTGACAGCCCACCCCATCGGCCTCTGGTAACTCAATCCCTGCACCCCACCCTCCCAATTCCCCTCCTGCTCAACAACTTCAGCAGCTGCTGGCTGGAGCAGGGCTGGCAGGAGTGTGTATGAGTGCATGTTGTATGTGGGGGGGGGGGGTAAGAGGGGCTGTGGGGGCAGGAGGTGCTGCCAGGACATGTTAAAGGAGACTCTTAGCCTGGGTACAACTTGGGTGGCAGGAGGCGGTAGGGCTGGTGGGAGAGTGGGTGGTGAGTGATGGGCAGGGGGCAGGCTGTGGAGGGGGGCGCAGGGCAGCCCAGGGGTCTCACAAAACTTGCCTGCACTGGAGCAGGGCCTGGTGTGGTGAGGGTGGGCATGGTGAGGGGGCAGGGGAGGGTACAGCCATAGCTCACCCCCCAGATTCCTGTTCTTCGCCAGGGGGCGCATGTAACCATGAAGGACACAGAGACAGCCTGTCTCTGTCCCCAGTGCCCGGGCTGTGCCTGCTGGGCATCACAGTCTCGGTGACTAAGTCACTTCTGTCCCGGGGCTGGCAAGGTGCCAGCCATAGCTCTTCTTCTCTTCTCGGTAGGTGAGTCACTGCCCTGGCATCTCCCCCGGATGCAGCTGAGTCACCCGGCTGTGCCTGCTGGGCAGGTGGGCACCAAGCTTGGGGTGGGGCTGGGGGGGGCATATGCATAGTCCCAGTGTCTTCTCTGATCTCTCTGTGGTCTGTCCTGGCCCCACGAATAGACCTGCAGCGCCAGCCAAGGATGGTGTGTCTCCCATGGGCTCTGTCGAGGGGACGAGGTGGCAGGATCTGCGTGGAAATGTTTGATTTGGAGTAAAGGGGGGTGAGTTAAAGAGGTGACTGTGGGTTTGAATCTTAGCTCTGCCACTGACAAGCTGTATGACCTTGGGCAAGACAGTTTCCTTTTTGAGCCTCAGCTTCCTCATCTGTACAATGGAACCAGGAGCCTCACCCCATATGACCCTTCTGGGCTGTGAGAATCCAGTGGGGTGGGGCCATGAGGGTGTTTGTGGGAGGAGTGCCTTTGAGGATAAGCTGGGAGGCTGGGGAGGGGAAGAGTCCACTGAAGCAGACGTCTCCCCTCGCACCTGCGTCCTGGTAGTCTTGGCCTGCAGTGCCTCCCAGCCTCTGTTTACATGACCAGCAATGGGATTCCCTAGGGGCTCCCCAGAGACTGTGAGGGAGGCCTTGTTTTGCTGGAAGTGAGGGCCTTCTGGGGGGCGGGTGTCAGAGCTATTTTGTATCTCCTTGGACTGCTGGGGGCTGTCACTGGCCTTGCACCTATGTGGGCTCTTGGGTTTCCCTAGGAAACAAGTAGCTCAGACTCCTCCCTGAGCCCTCTTCCTGTGTGCTGTGTGTGTGTGTGTGTGGGGGGGGGGGGAGGTAGGCCCCCAGGTGAGTCTTTCCTGAAGAGCGAGCAGTCAGTCGCCAGGCCCGTGGGACGCCCCCCCCCCCCCCGCCCCCGCTCTGCTAGACTCCTGCTGCCTCCTACACTCTTCTCCCTCTAGTGTTAAGGACCTTAGAGGATGGGGTAGGGAGGGCGGGGGTAGGAGTCCCATTGTGGCCCCAGCACAGCTGGAGTGCAGCTGCTGCTGCAGATTGGACTCCTAGCCTCCCTCCTACCTGGGACCTCTCCTGCCTCTGGGAGTCAAGCCTGGGGAAGGCTAGATATTGGAAGGCAGGACAGGGAGGGAGCACAGCAGAGGCGTGCCGGCTGTGTGCTGGTTCACCTGGGTGCCAGTCTTCTGTGCATGTGTGTCTGACCCCTGTGGGGAGCAGGTTTGTGGATGCATGAGTTTCTTCCCTCATCTGCACCTGGGTCTATGCTATGTCTGTTCAGGAGTGTGCCCCACCCTCTGCCTCATGTCCTTTGTGTGCACAAATGCCTGTCTTGCTTTTCTTTTGTAAGAGAGAAAAAGGGAGAGAGAAACATCGATTTGCTGTTCCACTTATCTATGCATTCATTGATTGACTCTTATATGTGCCCTGACCGGGGATCAAACCTGTAACCTTGGCAATTCAGACGATGTTCCAACCAACTGAGCTACCCGGCCAAGGCACACATGCCTGTCTGTGTGCTCATGGATGTGCATACATGGGTATCCTGGGCATGCACGTGGGGGTATACACATGTGTGCTCTGAGTGTGTATGTGGGTGTCCTGAGTTTGCATTTGCACACCTGACTCTCAGTGTGCACGCCTGACCCCCTGTGCTTGCAGGTGTATGCGAAGGCCTCGCAGGGTGGGAGGCGGTATACCTGTGTTTATGCACACTTCCATTTTTGTGTCCATAATCCTTACCCCTGGCCTCAACTGGAAGGAAGACTGGTAGAGTCTAGGTCTAGGCCCAGGGGGAGCCTGTGCCGGCTGGGGTGGGTAGCTGACGCTGAGTCCCCCTCCCCCGCCCCCCCAGGCTGGCCCCTCACCAGGTGGCGCCCCCTGCTGCTGGCTGGGCTCCTGCTGAAGGCCTTTGGGGTGGGGGTGGGGGGGTTGGAGGAGAAGGGGTTAAGCGTTGGCGTCCACATCTGGGAGCCATTGGCGCATTCCTGCCGGCTGAGCGCATGTTTGCGGATGGATCTGGACGGGACAGGGCGGGAGGGGCGGGGCGGGCGGTTCGCACCGGCGGACGGAAATCCAGACGCGAGCGGGAGACCGCCGGCCCAGCGGGCGGGAAGGGGCCGGGGAGGCGCTGCCAGGCGCTGTGCGGGCACCTTCCCCCGCGCAGGACCGCAGGGCAGTGCGCCCCGCACACCCGGAGGGGCTTGTCTTACCTCCCCGAGGCTGGGAGCTAGAACTGGAGAGACAATCAGACGCCTCCAGCCTCGACCTGGCTGTGCAACCAGGGCGACAGGGGCCCCAAACCCGTGTCCTCCTCCGGCCTGGGCTTCCCTCTGGAAAGCGGGGCCGTCGGACCGGTGGGTTGGGAGCTCTGCCTGTCGGGCTGGGCTGTCTCCTCCCCGGGCTGGAGGCTGGGGCGTGAGGCACTTCCCCTTCCAGCGGGAAGTCCTGTGGGGGCACTCGTGGCCACTTCTCTGACTGCGAAAGGGGGTTCCCTAGTGATTCCGCTTTCTGCTCCCCCCTCCCCTGGCTGCGAGAAGAGCAGAGGCGGGGGGGGGCGGGGGGCGGGGCGGGACACGGGGCTGTGTTGGGGACTGTTGGGGACTGGGGTCCTGCAGAGGGAGAGTGAATCAGATCCTGCCCACCTGGAACAAGAATGCGCGCTTCAGTGGCTCCCCAGCCTGGGCCAGGAGGGAGGAGCTGAGTTCTCTAACATTGGGGGGGGGGGGGCGCGGGGTGTAGGAGTGTGTGGTCCTGACGCCCTGACTTAGCCTTTGGGAGATCCAAGAGCCACTGCGCTTTTGGGGGGGAGAGGGGGGCTGCTGAGCGGTTGGGGTGGGCCAGAGTTCTTCTGACTGATGACCCACTCGAGCTGGAGAGGTTTTGGGGGGGAACTGGGAGGAGTGCACTTGAGTGAGGTCTATCTACTCTTGCACTTCTTTTTTTTTTAGATGAGAAAGTTAAGATTCAGAGAAAGGAAACGACTTGTTTAAGGTCACACAGCTTTCAGCTCCCACTGGTCCCTGGAGGAGGGTTATAATTAGGGGAGCCTGGGCTTGACAGCTGGGGCCAGAGGCACTGGATTCACTTCCCAGTTCACTTCCCAGGTTTCAGTGTGCGTGTGTGTGTGTGTGTGTGTGTGTGTGTGTGTGTGTTTGTCTGTCTGGGGAAGGGAATGTGATACCACACACTGCAGCCCCTTCTCCATCTAGCCCTTTTCCCATTCTTCCCGCAGAACTTCAGCTCCTCGCTCCGAAGCTGTCCTTTTGGGGCAGAGGGAGGGATTCTCACAGATTCCCACGGTCCAGCCTTCTGCTAGGCGCGGCTCCTTTAAGACTCGCCCAGTCTCGGGTCTATTAAGGCGAGGAGAGTGGGGCGTGATCCTGTGGGCCCGCCTCTGGCTGGTGATTGGTCAGTGGGCGGGCAGGGGCGGGGCCGAGGGCGAGGGCCTCCCCCAGCTCCGTACCCTCCGCCCCCCAAGTCTGGGGCTCCGGGTAAAGTTTCAGCCTCCGCACGTGACTCGCCATGGCCGCTGCCTTCGGCCCGCGCTGCTGAGCTCGGTCCCCCGGACGGCTCCTCTCCCGGGACCCCGCAGCCCTGACGCCGAGCTGTCCCGAGGCGCAGGGGCAGGGCAGACGCCGCGCCCGTGGGCGCACGGACGGATTGCGTCCCCCCGCTGCGAGGTAACCTCTACCCCGGGGATCGTGGAGAGCCCCCGGCTCGCACCGGCAGCGGGGACCCTTGCTCCGCTCCCGATGGGAGCTGCGGATGGGGACCGGGAGCCGGGCGGGTGCTGACGGGAGCCCGGGGTTTCCTGGGCTTCCCAACCCGCTGCCGCCGTGCCCGGGGCGGGGGAGCCCCGTCTGTGCGTCTGTCTGCGCCCGTGTCTTCGCGCGCAGCCGGGAGGCGTCCGAAGCCGCCTTGCCGTGCGTGTCCCCGGCGCCGGGCTGGGGCAGAGCCGCCGCTGGGAACTCCAGCTCTCTCTCTCCTTTCTCTTCAGAAACGAGCAAAACAAAAAAGACTTTCAAACCTGTTTGGGGAGAGATCGGATGCCCAACGGACGAGCCCCCTCCTTCTTCCCCGCCTGTTATCTGAGCTGCTCTGTGGTTTGGGGAGAAGCGGCCCGGGGGCCCACCCCCACCGGCGGCAGCCGGCCTGGGGGGCGGGGCCCGCTCAGCTGGTGTGCCCCGTGGAGAGAGGGGAGCCGTCGGCATCGGGTGGGGGGACCAGGACCGTCGGGAAAGGGACGACTGGGTCTGGTGTTACCATGGGGTGGTGGCAGCTCTTTGGGTGAGAAGAGGACGGAATAGACTGGCCGTCTTTGCTCTGCCGAGGGTGTCTGGGACATGGTGCCACCCACGAGGCGGGGAAGCTGCTAGCCAGATGTGTGTGTGGGAGGGGGGCACTGGAAAATCGGCTTGGCTGTGCCCCCTCTCTGGGCACTGTCCTCCTGTCAGGCTGCTCCGTGGGAAGGGGGTCGGGCCACCAGCGTGCCAGGCTGGGGATGTGCACCAGCTCATATGGAAATCATACCAAAAAGCACCCCCCCCCTCCCCAGCCTTGGAGACTTCTTTCCCATCGATTCAGTCTGGGATAGGGCACCCACCTGGTGTGGGCTTCCTCTTCTGTAACCAGCTTGCCTTCTGCCCGCGGGCTGTGTGCACATGTGTGTAGATATATGTTCTCCAAGGGACTTGTTCCCGAGAACACTTCCCCACCCCCCACCCCTGCTGCATACCCGCCACCCTCACTTCTACTGCCCACCACCACCCTCTACTCCAGTTTCCTGGCCAGGGGATTCGGGCATGTCGCTGTCCCCTTCCCTGACGGCGGTGGTCATAGGGCAGGGTTGTTCTGGGGAAGCGATTCACCAAGAATACCAGGTCTTACTAGGAAATGGGCTCCAGCCTTAAACTCCTCCAGGGCCTTGTGCTTGATGGGGAGGCTGGTGGGGGAAGCCCCAGGTTGGAGTAGGGATGGCTTGGAGCCTTGGGGCTTCCCCTGTGGAGAGGGGGGTGGAGATGAGTCTGGGGGTGGGAACAAGAGAGAGTATTTGGAGCTGGAGGAAGAAGGTGGGTGTGTGGGGGTGGGTGTGTGTGGGAGGGTGTGGGGGTTGTGGAGTCAGGGAGTTTGTGGCTGTGAAAGATGTTGGTGCACTGGGAGGGGCTGGGACATAGTTCTGCCTGGGAATCTGGACCATGTGGGCCCTGAGACAGCGGTTACTAAGATCAGACTCGGGTAGGCCCCTGGGAGCCGCGGATGTTGGATTTTGCGGGATTTTGCGGGTGTGAATGAGTGCGATGCAGTGTCTTTGCAGGAGTTTCCCCGCCAGACTGGTGAGGGCGGCTTGAGGCACTGGCAGTTCTGCGAAGACCCTGGGCTTGGAATGGCTTAATCCTGGGCACCTCCTCCTACAGCCCCTAAATCTCTGCCCTTCAGTTTTACCCTAAATGCCCCTGCTACTGTAGGACACCTCTCTGGTCCCCCCTCCTACTCCCCAACCATGTGGCAGCCTGGCAGGAAGCTAGCTGTGGGCAGCACCAGCCTGATCACCCCCATGCATTCCCCGTTGGGCACAGTCACCCACATGTGCCATGACGTGGTTCCTGCCACCCTGTCTAGTGTGGGGGAGAGGACATCATCTGAGTGGCCCTTCGGGTCTCCTTGGGGGGTACTGACCCACGCTCCTGTTAATTCATTTTCCTTCCCCTAAATCATTTGGTCAAGTTTCTGAGGAGGTTCGAAGTTGGCTGTGCCCTCTGGCACCTTTCCCCCCAAGCCACTCCTTGCTCAGACTCTAGGGTCTTCAGTGGGGTGCTCCTCAGAACGGTGTGACATGAGGGTGCGGCCTGCCCCCAAACACAAACCTCAGTGCCCAGCCGCTGTCCTCTGGGTGGCATGGCCAGGCAGGACCTAGGCTGGGCGTCTTGGGGTCTGTTTGTGAGCACTGTCTGCGGTCTGGGTGAGGGCCATCTGGGGAAGGTAACCCTACCCTGTGATGAATACACAGGGTTATCTTCACTTGCCCAGCACCCCACACCCCTTTCCGATGGTGGTGGTTTGGGGAGTGTGGGAAGCTGGCAGGGCCCCTGGCAAGATGACCAGGGTTGTCTTGACTTAACTGGGTTTTGGGAAAGGAGTGTGGCAACCCGACTCCAGCTTCCAGGGCTTTGGCTGCACATCCTCTGCTGCCTGCTGTCTTTCTTCCCTCCGTTCCCCTCTCCGCCCTCTGGCTGCTGTCTGGAGCCCACACGGTTTGTGGGGGGTGAGGGCCTGGATCTCTGTGTGTGTCCAGGGAGTGTACTGGGGATTGGCAGGATTGGCTGAGGGTGTCTGGGTGTCCCCGCAGGGTGGGCGGTGTGCGGGGACCAGGCCCAGAGTGTGAGAATGTGTCAGGGTTGGTGCGTCTGTCCCAGTCTGGCTCGGGTGTGGGTGTCTCTTGCTCCGTCTGGATCTTGCCTCCCGCTCCAGTCCCCGCCCCCCCTCCTTCCCCAGCTGGGACCGCCTGCTCGCTCTCCCTCTCTCTCCGCAACTGGAGCCTCCCTTGCTCCTTCCTGGAATTTGGAGAGGAGGAGGAGGAAGAGGCAGGCAGACAGACCTCCCACACTCTCGCCTGCCCGCCTGGCATCACAGGGAAATGAAATAGGCGCTATGGAACTAAGGTTTCCTTGGCTGCCCCAGACCCTCCGACACACATCACCGAGTAGGGGGGCAGGTTTTACAGAAGGGGCATGGCCGCCCCCACACCCACTAAATGGAAGCGAGGCCTCTTGCTTCCACCCAGCATCCTGCCCGCCTGGGCCCCTGCGGGGACCTCCAGGCACCACTGTCAGCCTGGGAGGGGGGTGGGGGGATTAGACTGCTGCCAGCCTGGCCAGCACCTGTTGCCAACCCCCAGCCCTGTAACTGGAGCTGGCTGGGAGTGGGCTGCAAAATGACAGGTGGAATTTCTGCAACCAGGCAACCCCCCCTCAACCCACTGGATAGGCCTGTCCCTTCCCAGAACGAGGAAAGCCTGTGCCCCCTCCCAGTGTCAACCTGATCGCATGGCCGATGTCCCTCCTGCCGATGGGGGCGGGGCCTGGGAGTGGGGAAGGGTATGAGCTTATTGCTATTTGCACAGTGACCCCCACTAGCTGCAGAGCGGGGCTGCCCTTGTTCACGTGTTCTGAGCTCTGCTGCTCTGGCAGGGCTGCGGGGGGCGCGGGGGGGGGGAGGGGCGTGTGGATGGGGCTGGTTTTCTGTTAATGTTTTAATTGCATAAAAACTGGGAGCTCAGCTCTGGGCCAGTGGGGAGTCGGTCTGGCTGGCCTCCCGGTTTGGGCTAAATATAGTCTGGGACATCTGCAGAGAAGGGGAGGGGGGCAGAGGGAGCTTCCATTCCCCCCACCTCTGGCCAAGGTGCCCTCTCTGGGCGGGCACCTTGGAGCAGGAAAGGGGATTCTTCAGCACAAAAGGCAGGGGAGAGGTGGGTGGGGGCTGGGCACAGGGGAGACCTCACCGGTCTGGAGGCCAGTGGAAGGATGGGGTGAACCCAGAGGCTCAGGACAGCGCCTGCCGGCAGGAGTGGGGCGCAAGGCGGGCTGGAGCGAAGGGCTCTGCTCGCCTGCCCTCCGAGATGCCTCCGTGTGTCACTGCGCCCGGCTGGTGTCACCGCGCCCGCTCGCTGTGTGCTGGTGTGTACACACCTCCCTCCCCCAGAGCCTCGTCCCCTGGGTCCTACTGCAGGTTCCCAGCCCTCCTTCCTTTTGTCCCTTGCCCCACAGCGAAACCTTCAGCCCAGGAATCGAGACTTGAGAAGGGGAAGCTGCGGTGGGTAGTTCTCTGATCTCCAGTCACGGCAGGAAGTGGAGGGGAGGGGGACCGAGGAGGGGACCTGAGTGGCAGGCGTGGAGGGAGGGCCAACCTTGAACGCTGTGGGAGGGGGCGGCCAACCTCCCAGCCACCCCCTCTTCCCTCCAGCTCCAAGTGGGGCCAACCTCGGGAACAGCTGATTTCCCAGGGGCTGCTAACCATCCTCATCACCCTCCCCACGCTGGGAAAAAAAAGTCTTCCTGTCATGTGACTGTCACTTCCTGTCCCACTGTGGTTCCTGGGATGTTTGTTGTTGGTTACCATGGAGATGGCCGCTGTAGGCTTTACCCTGGTTCTTGTGGGGAGGAAAATGCCCCCTCCCCCTAGACCCACAATTGGGGGGGGCAGTCTGGGGGGGGCTGCCTTGGGGGCCGTGTCAGGCTGAGTGTGTGTGGTCTCAGATGTCCCAGATCCCCCAGGACCCCCCAGACTTCTGTCTACGGGAAGGAGTCACAGTTATCTACCCAGATGAGTGTTGGGGAGCTGCGACCGCATGTGGCTGTGCTTGACTGGCTGGCGATGTGAGTCTGGCTGTGCAGACCCTGTCCCCTCCAGCCTGGGTCCTGGCTGCCTTATAAAAATGCCAGTTCGTGTCTCTTTTTACTTTTGTCACCTTCTCCCATCCTGTGTTCTCATGGAAACGACCCTTCCTAGGGAGTTTCTGTGACTTCTTGGGGTCCAGGCTGGAGTGGGGTGGGGCTCTGGGCAAGATCCCTGGTCCTGTATTTTCTTTGGGGGGTGGGGAGAGTGGTGCCCCTCCCACACAGCCTGCACCAGCTTCTCCCTGACCCCAAGGCCTTGTGCTTAAGGGGCAAGCCATTGGACTCTG